TAATTGACCAGATAGGCGGGGTATAAATGGAATAAATAAATAAAATAAATAAATAGTGAGTTTAAAAACACTATAGAAGAAGGGGTGTTCAGGGGGGGCACGTAATTGACCAGATAGGTGGGCTATAAATGGAATTAAAAAATAAAATAAATAAATAGCGAGTTTCAAAACACTATAGAAGAAGGGGTGTTCGGGGGGGGCAGATTAAAAAGTAAGGATTCCTTACAGAGGAAGGAGAGTTTGGGTTTTTGAAAGGGAGGATTCATTCATCAGTGATGAAGAGGAGAGTCAGATACCAGCTCTCAGAATTTGACATGGCTTACTCCCTTCTGAAGAGGTCCTTGTTCAGTAGGCCAAGGCAAAGAGGCAGTCCCAAAACTAGCAAAACGAGGGAGCTGGCAGACTGTCTTTGTCTTCAGTGTGGAAGGGATGGTCACTCTCAAACTGGCCTTCTCAGCCACACTAGACACTGTTCCAAGTCCTCCATACAGAGCACATCACCCTTGTCTCTCGAGACTGAAGGATGCCTACTCCCTTCTGAAGCTGGCAAAGGCCTATGGTTGGATTGCCCCATAGTGAGACCGGGCCATCACCTTTGCCACAGCCTGCCTAGGAGAGTTCCCCAGACTCACCTCAACTTTTACTAAAGTCCTCCAGCCCTTTTGCTTTTTGGTCTTGACTCAAAGGAAAGGAAGGGGATCGGGAGAGGAGAGGGAGGGAGAAACCAAAAAGAAAGACCAAACATGGCAATACCATCCTGCCCCCACTGCCAATTATGTTTCATGGGGTGGGGGTGATCCTGGGGCTTCTTGGCAATGGGGGAGTTTGCAAAAGTTGAATCACCTTCTAATTACTTTCCACTCTAAGGCCACATGATGGACCGACTGCACTGGAAGAATATATTTGGTTTCTTTTTTTTCTTTCCTGACTCTACGGGATGGAGGAAAAGGGGAAACTACACGCTATGAACAAGCATCTTCACTCTCCACTAATCTCAGATCAAAACCTGCATATACAAAGCCAGAGATGATTAAAAAAAACACAACCTCTTTCAAGAGCAAAGCAATATTCTTCTTGAAATAGCCAGATGAAGAACGCTGAGTTCTGAAGCTGACTCTAAGCACCTCTGCAGAAAAAATAATAATCAGCATTTCCACAGGTAACTAATGACAAAACAAGCTGCTAAGATTTAGAGTTCATTTGCTCCTCTTGCTCCCATAAGGCAAAAAGCTGGCAGATGCTTGAGTAGCAAACCAAAATGGCTGCCCTATAGATAAGCGAAATGTAAGAGCGGGAACGGCACAATCTTTCAAAGCCGCCAGCCCTACACCCCTACCAGTTCAGGAACCCATTGCGCTAACTGGGTAAATGGTTACTCTCTCACTCACTTCTTACGCACCGCAGGAAACATACTAATTGGGAAAATGATTGCGGAATGAATCCAGCTGCAGAACATTAGCCTAAGATGATATCGGCTTCATCAGACCTGCCAGTTGGCCCTGCATAAAAGGGAAGGAAAGACTCTCGCTGACATTAAACCATCTATTCTCTACTATCTGGCAGGCCAGCAATAGGTTACGTCAAGGCAAGTGACGGGGAGCCAATCCGCACACGTTTCACTAAACGTACGTGATCCCTGTATGGGAAACTGCTGGGTGGGAAGTGCTGCAAGCTCTGTGAGAATTAGGTGTGGTGGACAGGAAAGGCAAGGCGAGTTAAGATAAATGGGGAGACCTCCCTCCCTAGGTGATCCACCCCCAAGCAAAGGGCACACAAGATAACAAGTGGAGCATGAGCCAACAGTGTGATGTGGCTACAAAAAAAGCAAATGCCATTTTAGGCTGCATTAACAGAAGTAAGGTCTCCAAATCTCACGAGGTGCTGGTCCCCCTCTATTCAGCACTGGTTTGAGCATTATGTCCAGTTCTGGACACCACACTTCAAGAGGGATGTGTACAAATTGGAAACAATTCAGAGGAAGGCAAAGAAGATGATCAGGGGACTGGAAACCAAGACCTACTGAGGAATGATTGAAAGGATTGGGCATGTTTAGCCTAGAGAAAAGAAGACTGAGGGGAGATAGGGTAGCACTTTTCAAAGGCTGTCATACAGGGGAGGGGCAGGACCGGTTCTCGATCATCCTAGGGTGCAGTGACAAGACACCAGATTTTGGTTGAATATCAGGAAAAACTTTCCAACTGTTAGAGCAGTACAACAACGGAACCCATGACCTTGGTAGTGGTGAGCGCTCCAACACGGGGGGCATTCAAGAGAAACTCAGGCAACCACCTGATAGACATCCTTTGATTTGTATTCCTGCCTTGAGCTGGGTGTTGGACTCGATGGCCTTGTAGACCCCTTCCGACTCCATTATTCTATGATTCTGTGACTATATTCTTTGTTTCTGCAGACAAGGCCTTTGTGGGTGAAAATGTGATGGAGGAACAGCCCAAGAGGGCCCACCACCTGCTCCAGAAAGTCCAGAGGGTAGTTCCTTAATGTTGTACAAAGTGCAAAGAACACATCAAACTGAAATCTAGTCCCACGTTGCTGGTGCTGGGGAGTTGCTCTGGACATGGGGCAAAAGGTGGTCGGGCTGCAGCAGGGAAGTCCTCCGTGTGTCCAAGGAGAGAGGTCCCATTCTCTTCCTCCCCTGCATGGAACTGCCTAAGCCTTCTCTCCAATCCTGGGGAAAAGACTAGCCCTGGTTCGGGTGCATCACTGGCCTCAAAGCACAGGGAGGGGGAGCGGAGACCCTCTTCCCTCTCGCCTGCTCTCCCTCCTCCACCCCCTCTGCATTACTGAATGTTTTGGTCAGCAGCCCACGGCTGGATTTTCTCCACGCAGCACAGGAACTGTCCTGGGCACGGGACAGAAACGTCCTCCAGGTTTTTATGCCAATGTATTTTGATGTTTTGGCCATACCGTTTATGGGTGTGTTATTATTTTTATTTTCTGTTCTGTTAAACTGTATTTTAACGACGTTGTTTGTGTATGTTGTAAACCGCCCAGAGAGGCCTTTGACCAGATGGGCGGTATAAAAACGAAATGAAATGAAATGAACTGCACCGGCTCTTTCCGATGTTGTGCTGGGGGTCCGTTACAAACACATCAGGTGCGTAACCAAACATAGAACACCCCACCCTGCAAAACGGGGAAATCTGCCTGTGCAATTCAGCGTATGGTAAATCTAGATACTTTAAACAATTTTCATACACATCATAAAAAGTAAACCGGGGGGGGGGGGGTTACAGCATGCCATATTAAAAGCCCAGACCTCAACAGCTATATCAGTAGCCAAAAATTCTGCCTAAATCTTTCATCCAGTCCATCCTTTTCGTATCTTAAGTTTTCCAGCCCAACAGTGCCGTGCGGTCATTTAGGGTTATTCCAAGTTGCCCAGGACTCTCAGGACAACTCCACAATCCCACACGGAACAAGCTGGTTTAATGGTGGCTTATTTAACTGTCTCTCTGTGGCAGGACACAGGACGCTTCACGTGCAGAAGGTCGGACCGGAATGGCAAAGACTTTAGAATTCAGACATTCAAAGAAGGGGGGAACCTGAAAGTGTCAGCAGGAAGAGCACCCCAGTCCTGCTCCCTGCCTGGGATGCTCTCCGAGGAGAGCGGGGACCATGGGAAAGAGGATAGAAGCGTCTGCTACACGTGGCGTCTTCCCACACCACTGGAGGTCCTGAAAAAGCAGGGCGTCCGGTCGTGCGGAAGCGCTGTACGGAGCAAACTGTCTCCTTGTCAGCTGTCTTTCACATCAAGAAAGGGAAAGGTGGGAGGCAGCCGGAAAGAGTATGGGTAGAACTCTCTCCCTGCTGATCCCTTCAAATTGGCCCTTCCTGCGGTTGCTGTTGTTGTTTTTATAAGCTGTCAAGTCACCTCCAATGTACAGCAACCCTATGAATGAGCCATCTCCAAAATGTCCTGTCTTCAACGGCCCTGCTCAGCTGTTGCGCATTTAAACCTATGGCTTCCTTTAGAGAATCAGTCCATCTCGTATTTGGTCTCGCTCGTTTCCTGTTGTCTTCCACCTTTCCCTGCATGATTGTCTTTCCCCGAGAATCATGTCTTCTCATAAGGTGCCCAAAGTAGGAGAACTGCTGTTTCAACCTTTTTTGCCCCCCGAGAGAGAGAGAGAGAGAGAGAGAGAGAGAGAGAGACCAGGCTTGATTTGATCTAGGACCCCCTTGTTGGTCTTTCTGGCAGTCCGAGGCATTCCCCAAAGCTCTCCTCCAGCACCACCTTTCAAAGGAATCAGATTTTTTTCCCCCTGTCAGCTTTCTTAACGGTCCAGCTTTCACATCCGTACATGGTGATTAGGAAAACAAAAAAGGAGCAAGAAAGATTTATTCGGCAAAACCTTTGGTAGGCTGTGTCCCACTTCTTAATTTAACTCCGAGCAAGCGGTCTACAGCCCCTCAAAAGCTCATGGCAAAGAAAACAGCCTGGGGTCTTCTTCTGCCCGGTGTCTTCCGCTTCACGTCTGACCATGTTTGGGTGCTGTGAGGGCTGCTTCTCTCCTCTACTCTTAGGCATGGACCTTTCAGCTGCAAACTTATCCTATGCCCAAGGTTTAAAAAAACGCTGCCAATTAGCCTCCCCCCCCCCCATTTCTCCCCTTGAAAGACTTTGGAAGGAAGATTTTATTAGCAGCACCTAGAGCTATTTCCAACCAACTGTTCTGCTATATTAAACTGTATCCTCCTTGATTAGGAGGCATAAAAAATCTTTTTAAAAAAGAGCTGCAACTTTTATTTAAACCAACATAACCTGAGAGATGCAAATGAGCAGCCTGGAGAAAGAAAATTAGATCAAAACCCAAGCCTGCTGGGTTTCGAAATGTTTACGACTTCTCTGTGGCGAGACTCCCAAGACGGCTTCTTCTTCACTCCCTTCTCCCTCTGCCCCTCCCCTCGGTCAAGCACGACCGAGACCCCTGAATGTTAACTACAGGCATGGCCCTCCTCTATGGATGGTCCCCCCTCACCTTCACGCTCCCGCCGATGAGATCCGGTGGCTCTTCATCTGTTTCTAAGGCAACGTTGATGGAGGCGAAGGGGCGACTGGCCATCTGTTGCATCTCCCGGAGCAGTTGCTGGTGAATAAATGTAGGGATGTTAATAGAGTGGCCTGGCGCAGTCAAGGGTCATAGGCATGCATGTGATTTTACGCAAGCGAGGCAAAAGCCGCAACCGCCCTCCACGCCCAGAGAGAAAACCATTCAAATGTAACAGCCAAGGAGCGCTTGGAGGGCCATCTGATCTTTGGCAAAATCCACACAACCTCAACTCACAAGTGACAGGGGTCATCTGTTTCAGAACCAGACAGGGTCCTCTGTTGGGCCCTATGACCAGCAGCGCATTGATTTAGTAAGAGTTAAAAACTGACGTACTGGATGTTTTAGATAATGGTGGCCAGGATCCAACAGTGTACTTGTACTTCTGCAACCTCTGAATGGATGGACCCTCCCTCCAGCAGCTGGCCAGCGCGCTCTAGAAACCTGTTCCTGTCCTTCCCTTGCCAATGGAAAGCTGTGGCAAGGAGAGACTTCCAATTCTGTTGGCGCTCAATCTGGCCAAAGAACACCCCCTGGATCTTGGCCAGTGAAACCTTTGGCAATCCTTTTCCTAAGACAGGCCGTCTGGTTCCATCTTACAGAAATGTATTATTGCCTTCCGCTTATTGTATTACTGGTGTGTGTGTGGGTGTTTGTGTCTGTGTCAGAAATGTATTATTGCCTTCCGCTTATTGTGTTACTGGTGTGTGGGGGTGTGTGTTTGTGTCTGTCTGTGTGTGTAAGATTATTTTAAAACATTAAGATCTGAGCATTTTTATCCTGCACTACAGTTTAATCATTATAGGCACAACTGCATAGATAAGCTAACAAGTGCAGAAACATTTGTAGGAAAAATAAAAATGAACAGGTACAAATAAAAGGAATTACAAGCATCTGTTAGCCATTGCTGCCTGGTAGAATTTATTAAAAGCACAAATGGAGTACCCGACAGATCACACAAGTGTGCCCATTTCACCTTCTCGTTCCCACCCAGCAGCTGCCAAAGGGATCCCCACAGCCAGGGAAGCGCAACATCTCCCTGAAGTCTGATCAGATCAGCCAGGCTGTAGGGGGAGAGGAACCTCCCCCAAAGAACGGAAGGAGGGGAAACCATTCAGATCATCCCCTGAGCAAAGAGAGCACCCTGCTAGCCGATCCTTCCATTCCAGAAGACGGCGCTCACTTTTCCAACCCAAAATTTCTTTCATTGCAAGAAAGTGGAGGGGGAAGGCAGGGATCAAAGAGCTTTGATTCCTGCTTTCCCCCTCCACTTTCTTGTGAGGAAAGTACTTTCCTCCTCCACTTTGCAAAAAGCTGCTCTCCCCCTCCGCTTTTTGCAAAGAAAGTGGAGGGAGAAAGCAGGAATCACTTTCCCCCTCCACTTTCTTTGAAAGAACGTGTCTTTCATTGCAAGAAAGTGGAGGGGGAAGGCAGGGATCAAAGAGCTTTGATTCCTGCTTTCCCCCTCCACTTTCTTGTGAGGAAAGTACTTTCCTCCTCCACTTTGCAAAAAGCTGCTCTCCCCCTCCGCTTTTTGCAAAGAAAGTGGAGGGAGAAAGCAGGAATCACTTTCTCCCTCCACTTTCTTTGAAAGAACGTGGAGGGGGAAAGCAGCTTTTTGCAAAGGAAGTGGAGGGGGAAAGCAGGAATCACTTTCCCCCTCCACTTTTGTTGCAAAAAGCGGAGGGGAAAAGCGTGTGGTTCTGAATGTAACCAGCATTCCACGCTCATGATTGTAACTGGTAGTGGCAAGAGGAAACCACATGCCTCCTTCCTGGAGCAGCTGCCCGGACCCGTCCTCTACCACAATGCTTGCTAAGATATACTTGATCTGCATTTCAATCAACCGCCACCTCCACCTCTGCCTGTGGAGGAGAGAAAACCAGGCAAGAAGGCAACACCCTCTCTGCTCTTTGTCCATCTGTCTTTCCATTCAAAATTTCATAGTTGCTTTTCCATTCACTCCCTTCCCTCCAGCCCATCTCAGCCTTTATCCTCCTCCCCCCCCCACTCAGCTTTTTTTTTTTTGTAGCTGGGACGTTTAAAGGCTAATGATTTGAGGATTGCTCTATGTTGTGAATTTATAAGTCACTTTTAAGAATTAGAAGCAGGAAACAAAAATCTAGACACACAGCCATTCCTCCCAGGTCTCTTTTTTTAAAGCTTCCATTCCAGCCCATTACTTTTTAAAAAAATTTTTTTTAATTCAGACCATTACTAAATGATGGGGACGTTAAAGAACGTTGACGCCCTCACCAGCAGCAGGCCTGATGCACTACAGGCAAATTGTAATGAAAACAGCAGCAGGACAAAACAAAAAAACCACAGTGTTAGCCATGTAAGGTCAGCAGGTCCCCCAAATCCATCAGATTCAAGCACAGCAGGAGATATGTTTGAGAATGAGGGCAGCCATAAATAACCGAGAAGTCTATGGACCACCCCCCTTCAAGATCCAAAGAAAAAAGAGAACACCCACCCATCAGTTTCCGGACACAACTCAAAGTGTTGGCTTTAACCTGCAAAGATTTAAGTTGCCTTTCTATATTCATTGTTTTTAGCTTTAAATATTGCCTTTCAATGATGCAAGCCTCCTTGGGTTTTTTAAAGTAGAATGGCAGGGCAAAATAAATTAAAAATGTACTTGCTAACTTCTTCCTCTGACGATGCCGGCCACAGAGACTGGGAAAACGTTAGGAAGAACAACCTTCAGAACACGGCCAAAGAGCCCGAAAAACCCACAACAACCATTAGATCCCGGCCGTGACAGCCTTTGCGAATACACCAAACCAATCGTTCTGCAGTGTACAGAAGTGAGAGCAAAATTCTGTTTGCTGCCCCTGTAAGGGGACAAATCCTGGACTTTAAGAATTATTACACCAAAGACTCGTCACAGCTGCCAGAAATCGAGAAGGCGTCCTAAAAATCTGTCCCTACCCATCCGTACTGTACATTTACAAGGGGAACATCTGTAACGGAACAAGCTACCCAAATGGTTCACAAAACTAGGCACCATGGGATGACACAGGAATGACCCCAAGGTGCTCCAAATCGGGTTTATCTATACCTGGAAGGGGCCCTTTGAGAGCTGAGCAGGATTTCCCAACCAAAGAAAGACCTCTACAAGACAACTCCCCCAGGGTGGTCTCGGATGATCCATGGGGTCCCTTCCAGCTCTGCAGTTCTAAGAGGATAAGGATGAAGATGGACTTCACAGAGAGCAGACTGGCCTCTGTGAGGCCAAAGTCAACTCCCTCCCCTTTATTATTAAAACACTTCCATATTCTGCTCGAAGGGGGAAAGCAAGCTGTGCCGAGAAAAGGCAGCTCTATTTAGGACTGGAGATAGCAACGAGAAAGACTTTTGCCGCTACTGGAAATAAAGCAAGGTATGCTCAAGGCAACACGAAAAAAAAGCCACAAGGACCATCACCTTTCTGCTATGTCTAATGTCTCCAAAGTTATTCCCGGATTTCATTCCCCCCCTCCCCCTACAAATAGACACACAGTGCCAAGTTGTAAGATGTGCCTCAGGTGAAAACCACCAAAGTGATGACAAGGTCACGCTTGCATCAGATGTTTTAATCGGACCTTCTTTCTTGAGCCAGGATAAGCAAACGGAAGAGTCTAATTCACCCCTTTTTTTAAAAAAAACCTTGGATTCCTTATTTTAACAGCACATAAAACCTCCTGGAAACTTTGATACAGCTGATAAACCTGTTTCATTTGAAAAAAAACCCTCATTTTCATGTGCAAGGAAAACTTTTCTCCTCCTCCTACTTTCTGTGGCCCAAGAAGCCCCCAAGCAGCTCCATATCTTCCAGCAAAACTCCACACACAAGCATGTCTGCCTGCCTATCTACCGCATTTCCCTGAAAACAAGACAGGGTATTATAGTAATTTTTGCTGCAAAAATGCATAAGGACTTATTTTCAGGAGATGTTTTTTTTTTCATGTACAACAATCTACATTTATTCCAATATGTTCATGTCCTCTTCTTCTGGTTGCTGCACAAGGGTGGAAGGCAGGGTTTCACTTCACTGGGGCTCATTTTAGGGGTAGGGCTTATATTACGAGCATCCTGAAAAATCATACTAGGGCTTATTTTCCGGTTAGGTCTTATTTTCGGGGAAACAAGGTATCTATCTATCTATTTTTTTACAGCTTCTTCTCTTTAAAAAGTAGCCAAGGTGACTTGCATCAGTAAAATGTTTAAAAAACTAAAAACAGTATTTATACAAACATTAAAAAGGAATCAAACAAATGCAATTCTAAAACAGAAAACAAAAAACAGTATTTATACAAACATTAAAAAGGAGCCAAACAAATGCAACACTAAAACAGAAAACAAAATCAACACCCAAAACTCATTTAAAAGCAACAACGCACAAACATCCATTTAAAAAAACCCCACTCAGGCTGCCAGTCACAGAGGGAAAGCCTGATTGCGGAGAAAGATCTTTTCCCCTGCTTGCAGAAGGACAGCAAAGATGAGGCCAGCTTTTCCAACATTGGGAGGGAGTTCCAGAGTCTGGGAGCAGCCACCGAGAAGGCCCCCTCCCGTGTCCCCACTAAATCCACCTGTAAGCCTGAGAGAAGGGCCTCCGGTCCTTTGAGATGGGAGTAATCCTGGTCTGATTTGCTGACTCCTCCCTTTGCACATCCATCAGGTCCTGTTCATTTCCTCCCTCTTCACCAGGAGTGCACAGAACACTTTTTTTTAAAAAGGTCTTCATTCTTGACAATCTCGGGCTTCTCATCATGAAATCCCAACAACTGTCCTTGAAGTCTCAGGAACCTCTTCGTGAGAATGAGACTTCGGGTGTGGTGAAACCATCTTTGCACAAAACTGGTCGATGTTTTTCAAACAAAACTGGCTCCTCCATCCCTTTTTAAATTTTATTTTATTTTGCTTATCAGCCAACTCTTTGCTGGGGTGAGGAATGGGCCTCTTCACAGGGAATGAAGAAAACACTTCACAGGCCCTGCCAGCGAGGAAGGGAAATCTCCGGCACTTTCTCCCAGCTCTTGGCGACCCATCCC